ACACAAGTTTTAAAGTCCGGGACAGAAGTCTTGTCTCGGTTCATACGTTTATTCCGGGACAAATTTTACCCTCTGTCCCGTTATTTTTTTCCCGGAATTTTCTCGTCTCGTTTCGTCTGTCCCGGTTCATTTCGAGAAAATTATTTCGAGACGCAGGAGTCTAGGGCGGGGACAGGCACGCAGCAGTCAGGGGACGGGCACGCAGCAGTCAGGGAACGGTTGGAGACGGGCACGTACCGAGAGCCTGGTCCTGCCAGGGACGGGCACGGGCGCGGACAGGAGGCGCAGCATCCACGTCTCGATCTCACGGACGTCGTGCAGCACCACGCTGCTGGGGGGCCCGTCGGGGGCGCGGCCCATCATGGCCCCCCACACCCCGTCCCTGGGGGGAGAGGAGGTCTTGTTAGGTTAATGCCTCATATATAACAACAACAACATTGCCTACACCCTCCTGGGGGAGGGGAAGGGCCCCATACACCATAGAGTCCGACTCGCGAGTCTAACTCGGCTAACCTCAAACCCCCCAAATATGGCACCGAACAAGCCAAGGTGGGCTAAATAAAGGCGAGCCGAGCCACGGCTTCCACTGCTTGCTGTGGGACTTTCACTGCTTGCTGTGGGACTTCCACTGTTTGCTGTGGGACTTTCATTGCTTGCTTTGGGGCTCGGCTCGAGTTCAGTTGCAAGGCAGAAGCCAAGCTAGCAGGACGTGTGCACTATCCAAGCTATTCATAAGTCCGACTTCCTAAGCAAGTTTATTGAAGAGTACCGCAATTAGCCGTGCTTGTGGAAGGTCCATAGCGCAGAATATTCGAACAAATTACAAAGAGATAAAGCATGGGAATATCTCATTCGAATTACGCGAGAAAAAGTTCCCAATGCAGACCTGAACTTTAAAAAAAATAAATATTCCTTTAATAGTTTTGATACTCGTTTTGATTATCGTTGCGTATGAAATTTAACAAATTCATATTGACTTCGTCTTTGTCAATTGACTAGCCATTCTTTTGACAAAATAGATCTTTTCCTCCGTTGCCTTTTCGCTGTCACGAGCTCATTCAACACGATGGGTTGCAGCAGGAGGCACTAGCGCCCCCCTAAGTCCCCTCTCTTCACCTGCTGTGGGGCCTGGACGCCCCCACCCTCCTGGGGGAGGCACCAGCGCCCCCCTAAGCCCCCTCTCTTCACCTGCTGTGGGGCCTGGACGCCCCCACCCTCCTGGGGGAGGCACCAGCGCCCCCCTAAGTCCCCTCTCTTCACCTGCTGTGGGGCCTGGACGCCCCCACCCTCCTGGGGGAGGCACCAGCGCCCCCCTAAGCCCCCTCTCTTCACCTGCTGTGGGG